GTCGAGTTCACCTTCTGCCGGCTAGAGGGGTTTCGTAAGCTCTCTTTATCATTGTGGTGCGCAGCAGGCGGCATGTATTGTTTAGAGCTCGGGGTGAGCTGGGACGGGTGCCTTTGTCTGGACGGGCGGTGCTGATCGGTCGGATCAGGTCATGGAGCGTTGCAGCGTCGGTCGTGTCTTGTGGCAGCACAGATGAGCCGGGGTTAGGATTTGAGCTGGGGATGTAACGGCGTAGTGGGGCAGAAGGGCAAAGACCCGAATTACGAGAAACATATTTAATATTCAGGCACGTGAGAAGAAGAGCGGGGGGAGAAGAGAACGTTGGTCGCAGCAGGTGTCAGCAAGAGAGACATGGGGATAAACAGTCTCGCTTCCATATCTGTAAGTGCACAAACGGAAGTTACCGACGGATAACGACATAATTCACACACAAGCACGTTGGTGGCACAATGACGCACGGGTCAAATATAACATAAACTAAATGGTCCTCTTGTCCATTAGGCATAACACAATGTATAGGCTCACTAGGCCATCGTTCACGACACATAATTAAACATCACAATGGCACGCTGGCCACATCCAAAAGTTTTGGGCGCACCAGCCTAATCCACAACAATTCACAATCCAATGGCACTACGGCCAGATTAAAACATAGGCACACTAGCCTGCAAACTACAAATATAATCCACGACATATCCTATGACTTCAACAGTTGAGCCAGCATCCTCTCCATTGTAGCTCAATAATTTTCAATCACCTGCAGTGCGATTGCTTTTGTACTGGACTCACGCACACTGGGGTTAGTCGCATTCACACGCACACAACATTCACCAGCGTCAGGTCCTTCCATGCCCGAGATTTCAGAGTCCGAACTGGTTGAATCGTATTTGCCAGATTTTTCAGGCGGTGACCGAGTTTCATCCTCTGAATTTTGGGTGTCAGACAGAATGCGTGGTCTTTTAATAGATTCCCTGGGAGTCTCTGCGAACGTTTCCGTGGCACCTTTGGATAAATGTTTTGCTAATTTTGCAAGAGGCATGTTGTCCTCAGGGTTCGTATCAGGTGATTTTTGACGTTTCCAGCGTCTTTGAAGTTCAGCAAGAGGTACGTTGTCTGAGGAATCCTCCGAAGTATTGTCAGAAATGTCAGGGGGGTCCGAGAAAATTTGCGGCGCCATGGAATCATTTGAACTGTCACTTACTGGTGCGTCGTAAAAACATTTGAGGACCATCTGGAACATATTGAGGCTATCTTTTCGCGGTTACGGAACGCCGAACTAAAAATGAAAATGTCAAAGTGCGAGTTCTTGAAAAAGGAGGTAAATTATCTAGGCCATGTCGTTTCCGCCAGTGGTGTCAAACCGGATCCAGCAAAAGTTAGCGTTATTCAAAATCTGGAGCCACCAACGGACGTCAGAGGCGTTCGTTCATTTATAGGCATGTGCTCCTACTACCGCCGGTTTGTGCCTCATTTTGCAAAAATAGCCAAACCGCTAACCGAACCGTTTTGTACCCTATGGTATCTTTCGCATTTTCCGTTTGATTGGGGATGGTACACCGATGTACGAATATGCTTGATATTGTTGAACACATTAATTTGGTCAATAACAGCGTTGTGACGCGTGCCGAGCCGCAGTGGGCACAGCCCCCGGCCGAGTGAGGGAGTTCCGAACCATCTGGCCAACCCATCGCACCCACGGGAGCCGCTCTCCCGTCGGGCTACTTCTAACTCTCCCGTCAAATTTTGTCTTGGCTCATTGCAATATAACGTGAAAAGTCAAAGTGTCTTATTTGAGGAAGGACTAGACTATCACCGAACATTATTACAGTCTCCCCCGCACACCTTACACAATACGTGCGGGCTGTATAAGTATATACAGCTCACACTCAGAGCTATAGGACCGAATGAAGAAAACGTTGAGTTGAAAATTAAAGTAGTAAAGATGAGAGCTTTAACAGCCTTCAGAAGTAACATTTTGATGTTTGCATGGCGCCGTCGACGTTTGGCATATCAAATCATTTGGCAGCCCATTGGTGGATCAAGAAAGTTGAATGAGACGCATGGGGCATGTTTTCTCTTCCCAAAAAAGTTATCTTTAAAAGCTCATTGGATTTCGCTTCCTTGTGCCTTGTGCAATTTAAATTTTATAAGCTAAAGTTTTCTTTTCGAATGCCGCGGGAGGGACAAATGACCCGAATGCCCTCCTTTATTGGACCGGTCAATATGCCTGTCTGGACGATGGCTCGAACTTTAGACTGGCTGCTGCGCTGCTGAAGTCGTTGCCATTGTGCATTGTAATTGCACTGTTATGCTGTTGGAAAATGGAAATAACAGTAGTGCAGTAATAATGCAATACTGGCCGTGCAATAAGGCGTGCAATAATTCCAGACATGGTGCCTAACAGCTGACGGCCAACGGCTCAACAGCTGAGAGTAAATAGGTTATGGGAAAAATTTGCCTGTCACAATGCATGCGTCGTTACTTTAGCCAGTTTAACCATCAGCTAAGAGTATGTCGGGGCTCCGAAGATGCGCCGGTGTCGACGACGTGTCTACATTTCCTGCGCGCCGTGGTGGGACTGTGTCGTGGCTCACAAGTCCGCCGCGGTGGGACCGTGCCGTGGCTCACAAGTCCGCCGCGGTGGGACCGTGCCGTGGCTCACAAGTCCGCCGCGGTGGGACTGTGCCGTGGCTCACAAGTCCGCCGTGGTGGGACCGTGCCGTGGCTCACAAGTCCGCCGCGGTGGGACCGTGCCGTGGCTCACAAGTCCGCCGCGGTGGGACCGTGTCGTGGCTCACAAGTCCGCCGCGGTGGGACTGTGCCGTAGCTCACAAGTCCGCTACGCTGTTTATACGCCTTTAGAAACAATCAGCCGGGATCTGGGCGCTTGGCCGGCCTATCTGCTCTCATCTGTATTCCGAAGAACGGACGTAAAGCTGGCACACCACTACTACGGGCGGCGTGGCCGGCAGAGCCGGCGAATTTAGCGGCCTCGACGACCAGGAGGAATCGGCGGCGGAGAGGGCGAGGCGGCACCCAAGGGACGATACCGAAAGAATCACATACTTCGAACTGGGGACATTCTGAAATCGTGATCATCATCAATAGGTTTGACTAGGAGTCGGCGAGTGCGAGAGGGCTGCCTCCGCCAGACTTGACTTTGGTAACTTCAGTGTTGGTTGTAGGTATCAAAGAATTTTCTGCTGAAAAAGGCAGCGCTTATTTTGAGTTTCTTTTCGCTCTTCCTGATTCAGCCTTCATAGTTCTACTATTTTAATGTGTATCGAAGAAATCAACATATTGGAAGGAAAGGTAAGGACAAGGGGACTGAGAGTCGCAAGTGGTTTCTTCTCTATTGCGGTTTGATAACTATGTTAGAGAGTCCGGCCACCAAGGCTTGGCGGTCCGGAGTAGCGAACCGCGTCTTTCGGTCAAGGGATTTCCAGAAACGCGGCTCGGCGTGCACGATTGTGGGAAAATTCCCCGCTTCCTGGCCGCCGGACGGGCTCGGTTTCCGAGAGACTCGATATCGCGGCCCGGCCGCAATGCTGCTCGGCTCTGCGCGCGGAGCATGGGTCACTCCATTCTATTCTCGTTGCACTCCCACGTACGGTGACGTCAGACTCTTGATCGTGTCCCAATGGTGGGAAAATATAGCCTGGACTGGATGCCAGTCAGCGGCAGAAATACTGGCATCTGTGATAGGAATATTTTCTACTGATGATTACAGCAAATACGAGTATAGCAGTGTAGGTGTAATCATATCTACACTGGGCACATGTAGTATCGCTAACATTTCACGCCTCGCATTAGCTGAGAAAATCATGCGTAGCTAAGGAATTCCCAGCCGTTTCCCTAGTTTATTTATGGAGTTGTTTGTAAATATCATACAAATGCCAGGCGGATTTATGTTCGTACACCAGTGGGCTGGGAACCGTAACGGAACAGCACATGTAAAAGACACGTTTTTTACATGGATGTTATTGTGAATATTAGTAAAATAGCTATAAGTATATGTTTACTCAAAAAGGATATCATTATTACGTGACAGGCATACATTCGACCCTCATCTCTTGGAAAAGCAACGTTTCATTCCGTAATCCGCAACTCAATAGTATTGCACGCACCGTATGAGCGAACCGTGCCAATGCAACCGTACGTTTGCAATAATAAGGTACGAAATATGTTGTCAATAATATTGATAATCGATAGAACAATGGACAATGAGTTTATCCTCGCATCACCTACATATTTCACTCGCCCCAATCTTCCCCATACCACTACGAGATAATCATTACGGCATGTCTTTGTCCACCGATCGTATCCTACTCTCCTCTGTAGGTTTACCTTGCACTGATTTCCTACTCGATCTTAACCGTTTGCTCGGCACCAGCCACTTTCCCTCGCCCCGGTCTAGACACGGTTTCCGGGCCCGGCTCGAACCGCACTGCTCTTTTTCCGTTTGTCGGCGGCCGATCTGGCACTCTGGTCATGCCTGGCGCTCAGCCGATAACTTCCCGTCCGAGATCGGCTCATCTTGTTGGCGTAACAGGATGGTCGTCCGGCTGTCCCTGGCCAGCGCCATCGACGGGCGTCTCCCGCGGTCCATCGGGAACAATGACTCTTCGTTATGCAGTGATGAGCTTTACCGAAATGAAATAATGATTTCGCTTATCGAGAAAATATTGGTGGTCGCGTAAGTTGTCTGTTTATGATAGAAAAAGTGAGGCTTCGACCAAGAAACCACAAGAGCACGAGCTCTTTCTGCATTCATGCCCTAATCTCTCTCCTATTCCCCCATACCCCTCTCTCTCCCTCCCCCCCTCTCTCTCTCTCTCTCTCTCTCTCTCTCTCTCTCTCTCTCTCTTCCATCATCTCTTTCTTTCCTCACTTCTCTCTCCTCTCTCTCTCTCTCTCTCTCTCTCTCTCTCTCTCTCTCTCTCTCTCTCTCTCTCGAGCTACCTCCGTTCTCTCCTAACTTCTCGTTTCTCTTTCGACAGTGACATTCGCTCAACAGGATTACTACGGAGCCTACATCGGTCGGTTCAAAAACTACGCCCACGGTATCGCGGGCACAGTGTATGCAGCCAGTGAGGACACTATCTTCATCAAGGACTTCAGCTACGATGGCCAGGGTCCAGGTCAGTCAGAGTTGAAGCGGTTCCTGTCGCTTTATAATAATGCGTTGACCAGACCATATTTTTGAGGCTGCACAGTTAGTGAACAATGTTTGTTCTTTACATTGAAAACTTGAAGAGTATGTCATTGTTCATCTAAAACTCCTGCGACTCGGACAGGGCAATCATTTTGTTTCTTTTATTTTTCTCTCAAGTCAACGTTGAATAGGAAATTGTCCAAATGTGCAATGTGCATGAAAAATGCGTTCCAGGTTGCATTTCAGCCCCTCCGTAGCCCTGATTGTTATGCTGCTATATTTGCCGTCGGTTTCAGATGCCTTCTTCTGGATCGGTTACGAGACGCCGCAGCCGAGTCCTCAGGGTATTCTGCTGCCCTACCCGGACGACAGAAGGTGAGGTCACCACCCACCGGATGCTGGGCTACCATATCTGTGCCCTCGTATCCGCTCCAATGTCCAGCACATAACTACATATATAGGATGTTCTGGCGTTAGTTGGCGCATAAAATCAGCGCAATCCTTCTCGTCGAATTTGATATTTTTCGAACTGCCAAGCCTCATTTCATAACGAATAAAGCATTTTAACTGCAATTAGCCAACGTCGACAGACAAGGGACCCTTCCACCTTCAAAAAAGTTATTGAATTGGCATGAAAGTGATGTTGCTCGGTTCAGAAAGCGCGCAAACGAATATCTACCAAATTTCATCGAAAAATATTCACAGGTTTTCAATATATTCGACTTTTACTTTTGTTTACTTTTGGGATCTCCGCTGTTCCTAGCGACTTTTTTTGAAAGTGCGGCACTTGTTGCGCGCAAAGCAGCATATACCACCGCGTGCTACCAAACGTTTTAGTTAAAAGATTTAAAATCGTTAGATCTGCGCTGACGTCACACATTCAGAGGGGGCATTCTAATGCATTAGCCCCTCTGAATCCAAGTGCTGCAACTTTGAAATAAGATATTTTCGATTTGAGGCATTCCTCGATCTTGTGAGTGCTCAAACCGGTAAGTGCAAGCCAGGGACCTCATTTTGGCTATCTCAACTGAAAACTAATGTTAGGGTGGGATGGTCATTTTAATATATTCTTCAACCAATTCTGCACTAATTCCGTATTTCAATACATGTATCTTTGTCTCTTCAGGACCCATACCTACGTGGATTTATTGGCATGAACACCAGCTGCTGCCCCCTGCCATCACCCATGCCTCTCGTCTGCCACTTTCTTTCTTTTCCTGTCGCCATCTGTTCTGGCGAGTTCATCTGTAGCCGCCTGATACACAGGAGCAGCCCATAGCTGGGCGATAAATCACCCGGCCGCCGCCCTCGGCCGCGGAATGTCTTCATAAGCTGCCCACCCCCTGATCTCCCCATCCCCCCCAGAACCCCCCATCGGTCGGTGGTCGATCGTCCCCCCCCCCCTTTAGCGCGAATCAATGCCGCTCGCCGTCCGGAATCGGTCGCTTACCACTGGCCGAATGGATCGGGGTCAATCTCGGCCGACCGGGCGGCCGCCGGCCGCGCGCTGACGGCCCGCCGGTCTCGATGAGGCGGCCCCGTCGACCTCGACGATGGCCGACGCGGCCGTTACGGCGGGCGGCGAATGGCCGTTAGTGGCTGCGGAGGTCGGCTTGAAATTAGCATGGAGGAGAAAGCCGGACCCGAGAACACGTTCAGACTAAATATAGGCAGGGAAGTATGTTTGAGAGGTGCTTCTGATTTAATTTGAAAATCAAAGATTAAATTCTAAAAATTTCGATGACGAAAGCATGCATAGATACAATTCAAAGTAATGAAGCATTCAAATTTAACTATTTGTGTTTCGCATGTGACGCATTGAATTTACAACCAAGTGCAGCACGTTCGAGCTGTATAACCTTTTTTAAGATCGGCGAGCGACGCACTTATTATTTTTTATCAAAATTATTTACCGTTTTGAGTAAACACTGCCTCAACTACACAGACCATACAATCGCCTGAACCTACATAACTTTCAATGGCATGTTGTGACGAGGGAGAACCTGACATAAGACGGCAGTGAGTCCGACTATCGCTTATACCCGGCTCACGTTGAAGAACCGGTTTTCACAAATCCGAACTCTGAAAATCTCCCGTCAGAGTTGGGATAGCGTGGCGTGTCTGCATGTTAGTCCTAAGTTCATTCACCCGGGCTCATTCTCCCACTGCATCTTACCTGACTGTTTTACCACCAAGGGCAAGTTCCCGTACCATTACCATGAATCATGCAGGAGTATTGTGGTCTGAGTTTGATGCGCTTTCGTCCAGCCATGCTGGCATTTTTTGTCACCGGAAATCCTTATCCTTCCGCGAATCCTTTGTGCCCAACTCGCTAAAATTAACTTACCACACGTTGCTGACCCGGCTGATTCCTTGCCGCAGCCGGGGGCCGGACAAGGTGCTGCAGCGCTACAGCGGCGCCGACATCGTGCTGCGCCTGCCGGCCGGCCTCAAGGTCCAGGAGATGAAGTGGCTCTCCATCTGGTGTCGTCGCTTCACGGTGAGTCACGACCGATGCCAGATGGGGAATGGAGTTACCAGATGGGTCGGGATGTCAGACAAGCGGATGGAGTTAGAAAACGGCCCGTGGAAATCAACCTGCAAGATGCCCTAAATCCATTTTCAGGTATACGAGCATGAGAGCCTTTGTGGCTTGTGGTATTCCTGAGTCAGTTACTGTAGCTGAGGTCATTGAGTCCATACCCGAAAGAATGGATGAGCCTGTTTGATCCTAATCATGGAATATTTATCATGATTTTCATCTTAATGAATAAGGCTTTGGTTGCCCATTACTCGTCTGACACAGCAGAAGACCGCTGTTGCTTATGGTCGTTTAATAATTATGTCTGTCTTTGAGGCTTGTGCTCTTTTATATCAACCGGCCTTTTTTAAAGTTTATTAAATATATTTGGTTTGCTTGTTCATGATTCACAATTCTTACTGAAATCCACGATCCTTTTACTTCACCGTATTTTCATACTTGTCATCATATGACCGGCAACATGGTGGCTCGATCTCCCTCTTGTTGGCCGTTATATATCACCGGAACAGCGTGATTTGAGAGCGGCAGTTGGCCTTTTAGCGGCTCCCACGGTGGCTCCGGTGCCAGATCCATCCATCTCAGTGGCGACATTCACCGGTTTAAAGGGGTGCTCGCCACCTAATCCAACGCAACAGTGATAGACGAGCAGCGTTCGCTGACTTTTTACCGGTGACAGAGAGGAGAATACGAAACGGCTGAGGGACGAAATGGGAAAGAGACAAGGATGAAATGGGAACGAGACGGGAAATAGACGGAAAGAGACGAAACGAAACGGGCGGTACGAGAAGGAACGTACCGCCCGTTTCGGTACGAGAAGGAACGGGGCGGAACGGGACCGGATGAAATGGGACGGGGACGAGGCTGGACGACCAAACGGGACAGCAGGACGGGACGGGACGGGCCAGAGACGGGACGGGATGGGACGGGACGGGGCAATTGAGACGAGGCGGAGACGGGACGGGACGGGACGGGACGGGACGGGACGGGAACGGTGGGGCGGGACGGTGCGGAGGATCGATGATTCTTTCAATCCGATCCATACTCTACACACTGCTGGTTAAAGCGTCATGCTTTGTAAATTCAATGCATCATACATGCCTTGGAACGTTGATGATCCAAGGCTACTGATATGCGGGCGTGTATTTGGTGCGTTCGTGCTGTGAGTCGGATAATGGACCGTCATTCGTCACGTTCACTTTAAGCTGCTAACAGGTAACGAGGGTATTGCATAATACATTTAGGCATGATAAAGGTCAGCGGAAAAAAAAAACTCTGCACCGGGTCCGCTGTGTAGCCAAGAATGGCCTTTCAGCCCGTCTGCAAGGTACTGATTCGAGAGATCAGCGAAGGTCATGGGTCAGCCTGCTGCCGGTGTGGGCGGCGAGCCATTGGCGGCCAACGGATACTGACGCCCACGAACGGACAAAGACGTACAGATAAAGGCGCCTACAAACGGATAAAGACACCCACGAATGGTCAATCTCTGGCGACAGTCTCAGCTCCAAATGAACGGGCTCAGCCGCAGACGCTGGATTCAGTCTCTGGACTTCGGAGTTCGGACGCAATGTTGGACACGCCTCATAACTCCACTCTGGAGTGGTACCTATGTAGAGATAAGAACCGAGACGGGAAAAGGAGTCTGCGACCGCAGTGGCGGTGGACGCCGATTGCGTGACAACTGTTTCCCCCGACAGTGACTGTGACAGAGCATTGTCAGGTTTCCGCTCCGTGTTTCCGCCCAGCGGCCCCGCTCGGGCTGAGCTTTGTCTCCACTCTGCAGTTGGGCTATAACGACAGTTCAGAAGGCGCTCGACTGAACCGTCTAAACTCTAAACCTCTGCTGTGGTCTGCGGGACGGCAATGTGGTTTTCAAATCTTGACAGTTTAATCTGTAGCATACACCTGTTTTTGGCTGCCAACCATGCTCTTACCCTGTGCTGTTATGATGGCTGGTCATTCTATATTTACTCGCAATCTATTTTTATTTTATTCTGAACCTTTTCTTTTGGTTCGTATTCAATAAATTTTGGTTTAGCTTGGACCTGCTATAAATACATATATGGCACTTGATTGACCTGCGGCCTTCGCTTGCGTATTGTCCCTCAACTCAACTTGGGCGGCGGGAGCGTAGGTCAGCTCACTATGGCTTGTTTAGTAGCTGCCTTACTCTGTCGAGCGCAATAGTCGCTCCTCTGAACATAGATCACTTGGTGGCTCGTCCTCTCCGCTCAGTTTGCCGAGCAGTTACTTAGTATTGGGCAGACAGCTACACATACGGTCTCACTGTCCTGGATGCTTCAAATGAGGTCTCTCGACAGCTACTCGTTACAGCTGCACTTAACCTGGCTGGGCTGTTGTGCAGCTCATAGCTCAGTTCTTCCAGGATCTGTCCAGCTCAGCCTAGCTTTCCTAAAAGTCGATCCTCTCACTTGAGCTCACCTAGAATCGCCAGCTCAAAGTTTAGCTCTCGGGCCTTATAGCTTGTAGTACAGCTCTCCCAGCCCATAGTTAAGCTCTTCCATGAGCCACTCAGCTCAGAGCTCAGCTCTCCCCGGAGCTACCCAGCTAACAGCTCATTCAGAGCTCAGCCCTCCCAGCCCAGAGCCCAGCTCTCTCAGTCCAGAGCTAAGCTCTCCCAGACCAGAGCCCAGCGCTCCCAGCCCATAGCTCAGCTCTCCCAGACCAGAGCTAAGCTCTCCCAGACCAGAGCCCAGCGCTCCCAGCAGGTGCTCAGCTCTGCCCGCTCGGCTGCTCGGGCCCGCCGCCGCCGCCGCCGCCGCCGCCGCTCAGGGACATTGATCGACTCTCAGGTCGCCCCGGTAACCGGACGATGCGAGTCGGCCGTCGCATCGGTCCGTGCGGATACGCTCCTCATCTTCCCCTCCCCCTCTACCCCCCCCCCCCCGTGTCGGCCACGCGCGAGGACGCGGTACTGGGGCAGTGACGGAGTCATTAGGTCGCACGCACGGCTGGCGGTCATGAGCCGTCATTGCTTGTGGGCACACTGAATAATGTTAGTCGTGGGGGAGGGGCGCCTGGCGTAAGGGTGCCAGAGGGACGCAATGGATATGTGGATTAGGGAAGATGTGGTGCGTTGCACTTGCATTACATATGAATCGCGCGCAAAATGATGGCTCAATTAGAAATTTATGAAATTATGAAAGATGATTAAAGAATTATGAAAGATGATTAGGCGCTCATTTTAAAACCATTCGAATTTTGTCGGTAGTTAATGTTTATTTTTAGTTATTTACCAGCAAATCTTTCATTTGATTTTTTCTATTGAGCTGCAAGCAAGGATAGACCTATTATGTAAGCATCTACATTTCGTTCGAAGTGACAGAATGTTGTTAACTTCCTCTAAAGAATGTCCGTAAAACCGGTCGTGATAAACCTATCCGTATATGTTGCGATCCAGCATATTGTGTCGGTGGCCACGATGGGATCATACGCGGAGGCGGGGTGACCGCGGAAGCGGCTGGGTGCTGTTTGCAGTCCATTACTGAAGGAGGCTGAGCATATTGACCAATCTGTGGGCGACACTTACCCGTCTATAGGGGTGAGGCTAATTCGACCCATCATACGCCCTTCAGTGGCCGCGTTTATATGGGTCATTGTCTTGGCCGGTGCAGTCGATCTGCAAATAGCCTGGGTGGGTATGGTATATGAATTAGTAGGATTGTGCAAGCATAACCTTTGTTTCTCATTCGCGTTTGAGGTGCACTGCAGAACATTTCGAAGTTGTTCATTAGCAGGTATGCGATGCATTTCACCTGCTGTATTTTTAATAGTCCTCTATTACAATCGAGCTAGGTAAGAACTGCAAACAATCATACCTTACCAGCGATGTTTCATGATAAACGGAAACAGATAAAATTATCAAAACCATGGGAAACATTTTATGGGTATTTAAAAACCAGTTTTACATGCCAGCCAGTATAACGCCTTTTGGGGCGACTAACGGAGCTAGCGAGATGGAGCGAGAGGGCGATGAGCCAAATTGGAGCACACCAAATTTGAGAGCAATCGGTCCAGCCGTTCTCGAGATCTTGAATCGGCCCCTGCACGTGCGCACGTGCAGCAGCACCCCAACTATGGCACATGGAAATGCATCGCCTAGTGGGTGCCTGCCAACCTACCAACTTTCAGCGCAATCGACCCAGTAGTTACCGAGATATTGCAGTTGTTACAAAACTGACACCTCTTCGTTTTGCACAAGGGGTCACTCACATGCATCGGAATAGTCCAATAATTGGTAGAACGCATGAAGCTACCCTACAAAAATTACCGCATGTAAATCGGTCAAGTGGTTGCTAAGATACAAGTCTCGCAAAGGCGTCCGCACGGCCGGCCGCTCATACCCAGAAATTTCCGTTGATCTACGAAAGACTACGATCGCTTCGCTCGCTCCATAATGATGTTTGGTTCCAGATACCGCATACCAAATCGGTATTTCTTAAGCATTGGTGTATCAAAAAATTTCTAACCGATTGACATCTCAGCCCGACATGCCCACCCCACCCAACTCTCACTGTTACCCCCGCACCGCCGCCCTATGGTATCGGCACTGCGGGTCGTCCGGGCCCTCATTTGGCTGGCTCTCCTCTCGCCCGTGGTTGGCCAGAACGATCCGCCGAGCTCGGCTATCAGACGACTCGGCGTGCAGTGGCCCCGGCGCTCGACCACGTCCCCGGCGACCGGTCAATAACAATTTAACGGCGTGCCGAGCCGGCGGCGCCGCGCTGGCTCCCCGGCCGGGGTCCATCCCACACCTCCTCCGACTCGGCACTACCGGAGCAAGCCGGGCGGGTGACTGTTACATAAGGTCAAAATTAATGATCTTGTTCGATTATTTTAACAAAAGTTAGTTTTCAATTAGTTGGGTAATGTTATTGATACAAAAAAAAAAATATTTGCCTTTCTTTAGCATATGTTTTAGGCACAAAAAGCCAGGACATATCTGGTGACTTTTTTGTATTAGATCCATTGAGGGTGTTTTTGTTTTAAGTTGAGAAGAGCGATGTCGAATTGAGGTTGATGTGAGCTGAGCATAGCCAGAGAAGTTCTGCTGCTCTTCTTGAAGAACTCTTTTAAGGAATAATGGCGTGCTTCAAATTCTTGTTTGATCTTTTCCAGCATCTCCCAAGACGCCTTGATAGTTACACCTTGATTGCATACGACTCGAGTTTACTTAGATCTCTTCTCAGTCGCTACTATGAATTTTCCAGATAAAGCCTATAGGCTGGTGTTCTTAGCATAGATAAACTCAGCTAAAGTTAATATTAAATTGATTTTATTTATGAACAAGGCTATGAGCTATCTTTACCTAATCGCTTGGGATACCGATGCAACGTGAGCATTCCTCTCTCATATCAATATCAACCTAATTACGAAAATGCACCTCTCCCCACATGAAGATAATCCCCAAATTGCCGAACAGCTGATGTTTCCCCGGGGACGTGGGCTGTGAGGCTCGCAGGGAGTGCTGCACGTGGACGAGCGGTGCCCGGCTGGGCGGCCGCGGCCGTGCCGTGAGGCTGCGATCGATCGGGCGACTAAGGACGAGCTCCCGGAGCTCTCCCGGAGCTCTCCCGGAGACCCCGGAGTCGGGCAGCTCGACGGTTCGCAGTCGGCGGGTCGCCGGCGGTGATCACTGCAGGCGCCGCTCGGTCTAATGTTGCTAGACGGGGTCGGGGGGAGTGGGGCTGGGAGTGCCGGGAGGGGTGGGCGAGAGCTGGGGGTCGGAGGGATGGTGGTGCGAGCTGAGGTCTCACGGGACGAGAGTTGAAGAAGCGGAAGTTTATCAGGTCCGACCTCAAACCTCTAGCGTGACTGAGGCTGTGATGGATCGACTGCTGTGTTTTGGAAACACGCAGTGCATCCTTGAGTTACGTTTAATCGTTTTACTCGCTTTGCTTGTATTTCCTTTTAATTTAAGTTACGTGGTCGGATGTTCAAGTCAAACGCTATCTTCCTCGGAATCACTTTTATTTGTATTATATAGTGCATATGTTTGCCTGGCAAATTTAAATGATTCATTTAAGTTATTCAATCGCTAAAACTGAAGATAAGTGGCGGGCTTTCTCAGGCATGGTTTTGTGACCAGTGCATGCATATCATGTGGGCCCACACCGCGCCAGGAAATGCTCTGTGCGTCTCTGACCGCTCGAACTTTGTCGCCTGACACGCTGATTGTTTTCTTCCGCAGGTGAACTTTGGTGACGTGTTCATCCCCGAGCGCCTCGTACCACCGAGGAAGGTGCAGTTGGGCAAGTTCTCCACGCTGGCGCACGGCGTAAGTTGCACGAGTTATAGCTGCACATTGGGTCAGTTGGTTTCGGTTACATCACCGCGCTAGAACATTTCTATCGCACAGCTCTGCACAATGAAAAGGTCATTTGTAGAAGTTTTCCGGACTGGAAATTCATTGTATCGGATTCCTCGAACAGCTCGCAGCTCTGTTGATTGTTCAGCAAACAGAACTTGAACCATGCTGTGGGAGAAGACTGCTACGTCTAATGGTGGCTCTATCAGGCATTTGTCTTTTTTTGTATAGGTAATTACTCGAAAAAACTATGGATTCGTCGTAATGTTGTTGATTGTTGTTATCGGATGAATAGTTAACTGTTCTATTGCCTGAAGGCAATCAAATGTCCATAAAAATAACGTCCATAATATCAATCAAATGTCCATAATAATTAAAAAATAGAATAACGGTGTTGAGTGTAAACTAAAAAAAACGTCCATTAAAGCCCTTAAGCTGTATCGCAGAAACCTTTCAAACCGTAATACGTTTTGTTTTCACACGTCGAATGTAATTTTTAGCATAATAATTGACGGTGCCAAATTGCCATTCGACCGAGCTGCTCGTTAGTCGTCCAAAGTCCAATGTATTTAAATCGGGCCCTTCATTTTGCTTCGCTAAATCTATTTTAGCCCGACACTGAATCATGAGCTTTGCGAGCTGTTGGGCACGCGGCGCTGGCGGCGGTAGCTTCTATAGCTGCAGAGCTGTGCGACCGTTGGTCGTCGTTTGCCGTTTGCACTGGGGGTTGACCTGAAAGAGGCGATCGCCGGAAGCAGGAGAGGGAGTGATGGAGAGAGCGTGGGTGTGAGGGAGAGAGAGGGAGCGAGAGAAGGGGAGGAAGAACGAGAACCCGATGCTATTCATTGCGTATCACGTGGTGCGGACTGCGAAATATGAACAGAATGTTCAGTCGCATGTCGCCGACCACCGGATATTGACCATAGGTAGACGTCGAGCACCGGATCCCAGGTTCCGCCCGCCGACAAAGCTACCTTTCATTTTCACGCCCACTGCAGTACAAAATTGCGTCCTTTGCCTCATGCCATGTGATAAAGTAGCAAGCATTGCAGGTAGGTATTTTTGTTTTCCAAGAATACCTATGTGTTATTACCACTTTGCGCTGCACGTAAGATAGAAGATGTGGGTCATAAACCGTATTTCGTTTTTAGGAGGGGGGGGGGGCGGAGTGGAGAAGCAATAAATGTGAACAGCTCGAGCACACGTTGCACGTCTTAACGATAATGTTGTATTTGTAATGAAGTATTGCAGACTTCAGACTATACTTTTTCCCTGAATATGGTGAACTATGGGTGCCATCTGACTCACCCGAACCATTTCTCTTCAGGTGAGCTCTGGCAACATCGTGATCCTGAACACGAAGACATTCTACATCCCCAACTTCCACTACGACGGCGGCGGCCCGGACGCTTTCTTCTGGGTGGGCAACGGCTCGCTGCCCTCGCCCAACGGTGTCAAGGTCCCGGACGAGACCGGCAGGTCAGTTTGGACTCAAGGAGTTGTGAGCTCCTAGCTCACTGTGAGTGGAGGTTGGTATGGGGTGAGCATGAAGCCGAGGTGTAGTGAGCTGACTTGAAGGTCATCTGTTAGCTTGCGATGATTTAAGTTCTTAACGCGTTGTAAGCTTATTGTAAGTGAGGTGAGTTTGAGATGAGTTGTAAAGGTGTGACTACTGATCCCACGCCTCTAATCGTTGCACTGACTCCTGACCTTTGACCTCGCCGCCTGGCAGTGACGACGTACTGGGCGGATACCGCGGGAAGGACATCGAGATCACGCTGCCGGGCTCTCTGACCGTGTACGACATCGACTGGCTGTCTGTGTGGTGTGTCCAGTACCGTCACAACTTCGGCTGGGTGGCCATCCCGCCGAACTTGGACAATATTCCGCCCTACCTGGAACTGTCGCGACGTCAGGTGAGCAGAGAGAGGGGGAGAGAGATGGGAGGGATGAGAGAGAGAGTGACGGGAGGGAGGGAGGCATTGGATAAAATAATAAGAGAGCAAAGGGCATGGAAAATGACAGGATGGCCCTGGCTTGCTGTGCTGTGAACATCCTGGCTTCAAGCCAATAGATGCAGCGGATCACCTAAGTTTCATGGTTTCATGGATACCAAATATCACTCGTTCCTTGCTCGGGATCTACCTTAGAACATGAACGCTAATTATGCTCGCATTGATTTCCCTAGCCAGTAATTCATGTAATAATTACAGGTCTATGGCTTATGGCCTCTTAATAAGGAACTGGTAAGTTTGGTGGTTTGAGCATTTCCTCCATGATGCAAATCGCCAGCATGAACGTTCTAGTGTGTCGTATATATCCCCCCCCCCCTCCACTGCAAACGTACATACCTTATGAAAATAACTGACCATTTTATCTACGATAACACATCTCCGGATTCGTTGACGTCTTTGTGTTTCTTATTTTAGCATTAGCTGTAGTACCGATGCTGTTTTCAGAAAAAGTCATCCACCAGATAGAATCGAACCCGCGTTTCCGGGCCACTGACCCGTTCTGCCTCTGACCGTGCCAGGACCAGGCTCAGCGGGTCCCGTCGGGCGGCGGCGTGGCCTCCCAGCTCACCAACTGTCGTACGCTGGTGGACAACAAGCTGCGCGTCTCCTGGGGATCGGACAGCCACCATATCTACGTGGAACTGTCTGCTGAGATATCCGAGGACGACTGGATGGGCTTCGGCCTCAGCGGCGACCAGTCCAGGTAAAAACTGCCAGTCCAGCTGACTGGTGGCCGCGGCGACCAGTCCAGGTCAGAACTGCCAGTCCAGCTGACTGGTGACCGCGGCGACCAGTCCAGGTCAGAACTGTCAGTCCAGCTGACTGGTGACCGCGGCGACCAGTCTTGGTGACAGTGGTGCTCAGTCCAGGTGAAAGCGGTGACTATAGTCCAGGCGAGCAGGGTGACTAGTCCAGGTGAGACGCTCGCTCCCGGTGAGATCGTAAGAGCCGCTAGCTTCAGATAAGGCTCGCTGGCAATTAGACGGCGACACAATTACCTACAGGTTGGCTCATGTAAGTGCGTATGGGTTAAAGTATTAATCTCATTTAACTAGCTACTCGCTGGAACTTCTACAGGGTGTCCCAGAAGTAAGGTCATCATTTGTTTGGGCCACACTGCCAAAAATACGCGATGGATAGATATAAATAGGACATCATATGAAAGAGCATTTTATAAGATTTTATTCTGATACACATATGAGTCAATACATTGGCTCGTAGCCCCACATTTGCTGCTTTTCTACATGGCTACCATTTCGGGCCGCGTGCACGAATAGACTGCGTTTTACTTCCTCCACTATTCTGGAGCGATTCTCTGGTGGGATGCCGCTTATGTTTGCTCGGAGGGATCATTCTTTAGTTCTTCCCGGCTCGTTTGGTTGTCCTAAAAGACAACCTTTCTCTTGTGTATCCAGAGAATAAAAATATGAAGGTGTAACGTCAGGTGACCGCGGAGGCCAATCAATGGCGTTGCCCTGACTGAAAATTACGGGATCTCACATCCACTCTCGGAGACAATGCATGACCTTCAGGACGGTGCAAGCATAGTCTCCATCCTGCTGAAACCACTGCTGGTTGATGGTGTCGGCACAGCTGCGTTGCGACGAGCGGAAGAACCACTGGGAGGACTCTCGGCCACCTCTCTTGATTTATTGTCACCCGATTCCCGCTGTTGTCCTCAGGACCTCGAAGCACAGGTGGCTAAGTATACATGCCCTGTGCGTACATTATACCTTTTCTCTGACGTTTTACCGGTTGAGGCGAAACTATGCATGAGTTCAGAGATAGGGCGAGCTGATAGGGTCTGCTTAGGGCCGAAAACTGGGCGGTATTTACCCTTTGTTTTAATGACGGACCCTCTCTAAGAGTTGAATTTCGACCTTCTCAGTTTTATGCCTGCTGCTCGGTGTAGTTATGATCAAAAATGGTTTAAGCATGCAAGAAAATAATTTTATGGATGTACCTTGCACGTGTTAAAATTGGAAGTGATTCGAACTCTTACTTCTCGAGATATTTAAGTTTTAAATAATGACCTTACTTCTGGGACACCCTGTAGCTGGACAATGTCATTAATATTAGGTAGTCAATAAAATATGAAACATTTTTATATCGGCATTCTCCGCTGACATTCCTCGTTCTTTGACGTCAGTCGCGTACACCGTCAGCAGTTGATCGATATCTGTGACGTCAATACGCCTGTGTTTGCGTGTGTGTGTTTGTTTGTGTGTCGTCTGGCGCGGGCAGTCCTTAGAAGTTAGTACTGTAGGAAGACGTGACCTGCCTGACGATCCTCCGCTTTGGAGCCGCTCTGGGAGGCGTAGCGAGCCAGACAGGTGCGGGACACGGAGCGCTAGACACAGTGGAAAGTAAATGCGTGCTGTGTAGCAGGTAGGCGGAGATGGGTCATACCATACGCTGAGCCTGGGTATCGGAGGGTCTTACTGACAAGGACAGGATCCTGGATCTTGTTGATTTATCATGCTTGTCCTATAAACCTGACAGCCACCCTGGCCCCCAGACTTCTGGGACACGAAGAAGGCTAATAAACCTGACTGCCAACCTGGCCCTCATACTTCTGGGACACGAAGAAGGCTAACCCTGTGCTGTCCCTCCCTCAGGCCTCTGATGAAGGGTGCTGACGTCGTGGTGGCCTTCTACGACGCTGAGGAGGGTACCTACCGCGCTCAGGACTACATTATCACCGAGAAGGCCCAGTGCAGTCGCGGCCAGGGTGTCTGTGTCGACGAGGAGATCGGTGGCAGGAATGACGCTCAGGTCATCTCGGGAAAACGCCAGAACGGCGTAACGACGGTCACATTCAAACGTCCCATCATCACAGGTGAGAGAGGGTGAGGTGGTGTGAGCGGGTGTAAGGGTGTGTGAGGGGGTGAGAGGGCGAGAACGGGTAAGAGGGTGAGAGCAGGTGATGTATGTGAGAGCGCTGGGTCCGGGCAGCTGAGGGTGCGGCACTAGACGGCACTGTTTGATGGGTTTTTTAAATGCTGTTTATCTCAAAGAAATGCATCGTGGTATGCATAGAGCACTTACCTATATAAACACATTTAGCTTTTTAGAACATGTGGTTCATTTGCATCGGATGAGCGCCAGTAATGGCAAAAGTGAGAGTCTTCACGCTTGAGTCATCGATGCATGCAGTTAGCGGTAGGCGACACGAAGTCGTCACAACACCTGCGTATCTCTGCATGTCTGTACGAGCGCTGGTCCTCTTTGTTTAAGTCTCGCCTGGCCTCGTTATCTGCATGTCTCTGTACGCCATAGCGGCCCCTGGCTAGTTGTCACGTTCCCATCCCTCGCGTTACTAAATCGCCTTCCTTTCGGTTACGGTCTAACTGTAGGTATCCTTTCCGTTACTGTCTGACCGTATCTGATGCGGTGAGAAGCGGTGTCGCTGATGAGTTTTTGCAGCCGCGGCGGTCGTGATTCCCGGATGCTTTCAACTCCGCTCTGTCCCACCGTATGGCGGAGCGGCATCCCGGCTCTCCCGGCGCTTATGTAATGACATTATGACGCGTCAACCTGAGGGGCTGTGGCAGTATTTGAGCATCAGCTCGATTGTCCGAAGACAAAGCCATCGTCTATCGCTTCCCCAGTCCCCACCCCTCTCTCCACTCTTCTCTCTCTCTCTCTCTCTCTCTCTCTCTCTCTCTCTCTCTCTCTCTCTCTCTCTCTCTCTCTCTCTCTCTCTCTCTCTCTCTCTCTCTCTCTCTCTCTCTCTCTCTCTCTCTCTCTCTCTCTCTCTCTCTCTCTCTCTCTCTCTCTCTCTCTCTCTCTCTCTCTCTCTCTCTCTCTCTCTCTCTCTCTCTCTCTCTCTCTCTCTCTCTCTCTTTCTCTCTCTCTCTCTCTCTCTCTCTCTCTCTCTCTCTCTCTCTCTCTCTCTCTCTCTCTCTCTCTCCCTCCCCTCCTCTCTCTCTCTCCCCTCCTCTCTCTATGTTTCCTGGCTCCTCGGGTTCCGCGCCGATGAACGCCACATTACCGACAATAACGCGATGACAATCGGTGCCGCGGAGCCGTGGATCGGCCTTCCGCTCAGTTTCTGTCCGTGGTCCGGGTCTGATACTGTTATGACGTCATATCCTGGAGCTCAGTTATCACCTGCCAAAATGTGTGCTGTATCCGTTTTTGTCTGTCAGAATTAGTGGACTGTTTTGATACCGACTGTTCCATTCCCTGTCGTTATTTTCTTTTGGTTTACCTTTATATTAGGTATAGAGTATTTCGTAAAAGTCAGGTTATGCGCTCGGTAACCTTGATAAAAGCAGACAACGCCTCGAATGAAATTAGAACGGTTGTAGGTAAATGCTCACAATATCGAAAACACTCATTGGTGTAGGTGTCAGAGCCAGCATTTTAGACCGTTGTACCATTTTATAATTTTTAGACATTGACTTTGTGACGTCAGGGTCCGTGTGCAATGACGTCTCTTCTTCCTGGGCGTGTCTTCTACGAAAAGCGAGCAAATGAACACATTTGACTCCGTCATGCATTGCCTTATCATTGCCTTATTATCTTTACCAAATTTGTAAATCAGCCCGCGTGACCTAACGGCAGGAACTGAGTATTAACAATTTGCTGATCATTTTGTCCCCAGGTGACAACCGTGCCGACCGCCCCTATATCATCAACGGGGGAGTACAGGTGATCGCTGCCATTGGACCGCTCAACTCACGTAAACAGGCCAACTACCACTCGCGCGGCTGGGGCGCAGGTAAGGGAGAAACAGATACTCTATGTGCATTTTGTATACAACTTTCGTGGCCTTAGTGGTTAATAACTCATGTTCATTCAACGCTTCAGACAGCAAGGCTTTCCTCTTAACCCTCTTTTCATCCCTTCCTCCGTTCTCCAGGTGTCATCGACTTCGGCGCCATCAACGATGACCGCTGCGCCGACCGGAGCGTAACACCCGTGGTCGAAGTCATCAACAGCCAGCCGTGGCCACGCCGAACCATCAGCGGCACCAACCAGTTCGAGGCCAAGATCGGGCCGACGGGCGGCAAGCGCGGCTACCAGGCCGTCACCGACATCGCCTCCTGGGGCATCGCCTGGTGGATCAACGGCCAGCTGATTCCCGAGCTCTATGTGCGCCGTGGCGAGACGTACACGTTTATCGTGGAGGGAGGAAACGACCCCAGCAACCCGGCCGAGTGAGTGGAAGAGGGAGAAGGAGGATAAGGGATGGATGATGGAGGGGAGGAGAGGGGGACTTAGTTGAACGGAGGAAGGAAAGGGAGAGAAGTTTGGAGGGAGAGAGTAACTTGCGTTCAGCGCTGTACTCAGATACGCCCGAGGTACCGGTGTACGTAAACTTGTAAGCAGGGTATTGTACTTGCATGTGCGACGCGCCGTTAGAACAGAATATCACTGACTCCTGTACAATGTTTCCACCCACTGTACCTCACTGTGTACCCCTGTACCCCAGGTACCACCCGCTGTACCTCACCGTGTGCCCCTGTACTATGCTCCCACCCGCTGTACCTCACCGTGTACCCCTGTACCCCAGGTACCGTCTGCTGTACCTCACCGTGTACCCCTGTACCCCAGGTACCACCCGCTGTACCTCACCGTGTACCCCTGTACCCCAGGTACCACCCGCTGTACATCACTGACGACAAGGAGGGCGGGTTCGCCAACAAGGATGCCGTTGGCAGGAGGCAGGAGCGCGTGTTTGCAGGAGTGAACGCGGGCGCCATCGGAGGAGCCATACCCACCGCCGGTGAGACATCTGGCGGACGGGAGGGGAACTAACACTTCTCCAACCGAGTCCAATCGAAACGAATGCCTCGTTGACGACTGACTGGTACTGAGAGCATTGGGAAATCGCTTCACTTTTGGGCTGCGGACCCTGTGATCCCTTGTGACTCAAATTGCAGCCCTACATCGAACACGTTCCGATCAATCACAAAAAGTTAATGATGGGCGATATAAATCTCCTTCGGCTGGACAGGGTTTATTATTTCCCCCGTACTGACCGTGACCCTCCCCCCACAGCGGGCCGCGCGTGCAACTACAAGCCCCGTTCAGGTATCGATATGGCGGACAAGGTGGCCACCTTTGAGGAGTACGCCCAGACCCTGGAGGTGAAGTGCCAGCCCGGCCAGCCCGCCCGGCTGGTGTGGACCGTGCAGGCCGACACTCCGGAAACCGTCTATTATCAGGTGAGCTCGAGAGGTGGTGTATGGCACGGGGGGAGAAGGCGCTTGGGTACCTGTGATAAGGGTGAAGGTTTTGTTCTGTTTGTCTTGCTGATGGCTGTGTATTGATGTTCTTGGTTGTGCTGCCGGGGCATAAAATGTGCTATGACTAGTGAGCGTCCTAAGAAAAACAGCATAAGCCTTTTCTTTTCGACAGTCGTACCATCACTACCAAAGCACTTGCATCAGTTGCGCTGTGATGTAGGTATTGAGTTTGTCGAAGCAGCGTCTCACACCACCCCCTTTCGGTCAATCCACAGTGCTACACGCACCGTAACCTGGGCTGGAAGATCCACGTGCTCGACCCTGAGGAGTCGCTTCAGGAGCGTCAGCAGGATGACAACAATGACGCGGCCACCGCGCGGCCCGTGCTCGTCTCGCTGCTGGCGGCGGCGCTGGCCGCTCTCCTGGCCGGGTGGTGATGGAACTGGGAGCGACAACCGACCCGCCGGCTCTGTGGTGACGTCACTGGTGGACAGCCATAGTGTGGTATGACGTCACTGGTGGACAGAGATGGCTGTGTGACGTAATCGGAGGACAAGGACAGCACGGTACAGGTGTGGACAGAAGGGTTTGTGATGTGCCACCAGACTGGGGTGATTAGAAACTGTGGTACGAGGTGAGGGAAGCGATAGGGTCAACAGTCACTGCGATGGCGTGGTGTGAACTGTGCTCTAAACACGCTGGACTGTGGCGCGTTCAGTAGGGCAAGGCTTCATCAGAACGGAGAGAGTTTCCATCTGGACCACTGGTGACACCGCACAGGACAGGAGAGGACGGGAGAGCTGCCGGTGTCACCTCGGCATCCTGTCATCAGTCGACGTAACTCTGTGACGTCACGATTACGTCATCGGAGACCGAAGGACTGGAGACATCCCGAAGAACAATCACGTGGTATTTATACAATGTGGCTTGCTCTGTGGTATGACAAGCGAGCGATGAACCCGCGAATGTATGCGTGTGTTTGTGCGATTTTTGCAACAGTCTCGTCGATCACGTCGTAAATGTGAAAGCAGGTCTCTTGGCTTGCATATGGTCACAGTCTCGTCGAATCCACGTGCTTTTATGACGCAGTTTAGAGTATATGAGCGCTGGTTGCGCAAATAGGTCGTTCGGGTATGAGTGAACCATGCCCCATTGGGGGTATGTCTGTCGTTACCGACTCGTCGAATTCATGTGCTTTTATGATGTAAACGGATAGGTCGTGACGTGCTTTTAACGCGTGTATTTTGGCTTGTATGGCCAACTGCGGGCTCATCCAACTCGTCGAAAAAGCCGTGATTGTATAGCAGTTAATCAACTGAACACGTCAAATCGCTACTCCAGCCTCGTCTGTGTGCTGGGTTCTGCATTCAGTGAACGTTCCAACTCGTCGAATACCTGTGCTTTTACTACGCTACATCACAGTGGTGGTGACTGTTAAAACTGGCCCGCAGGACCTGGCCGGGATCAGAAGCTCGTCGAACTATTGTGCTCTTACGTGGCTCGTAGCTCGCAGTGCGCCGTATAAATATTCCGATGAACGCTAGAGATATGTGCGTCCCAAGCGCCGCCGTAGCGATCAGCCAGTCTCGTCGAAATGAATGTGCTTTAATTGATCGCTCGTCTTGGAACAGTGCGCGCATTCTCGAGCAGTGTACATATCGGCGCTGGGGTTTTCGAGTCGTATTTATTATTGCCGAGCGACTGACTGCCCGAGCGTGTTGACTGCTAGATAGTATGGTCGAAACGCGTCTGATTCACTGTGCCACGGTAGCGTACGGCAGATGCTGCGTTTTGACCACGGTCTTCATTTCAGCCAATCACCGCAGAGTCGCCGGCCGCAGTCTGAAAGGTTCGGTGCGAGACCCGCTTCAGTTCGCTTCTCACCACACTGGGCAAGTGTCGCCCGGGTCCAGACAAGGCCGTGTGATCTTATAAAGGCCGGATGACAACGGTCAGGTCATACGACCTGGTCAAGTCCATACCCTGACAAAGGTCATCAGGTCCGGCAAAGGTCAGACCTGGCAAAGGTCCGATGACCCGGCTCTAGCCCGTGGCTGGTAGCTGCCCGGCTGTCGCACGGTTCGTCCCCTGGTTGGTCGCGGTTTTCAGAGGACAAGTGCGTCGGCGTCATGCCAGGGAGATGCTGCATCGTAACCAAACCCATATCCTTACGCTCACGTGCGTCAAAACTAGTTGTTCTTGTCCGGGGCTGCCCATTTCAACCATATCTGATCGAGAATGCGGCGTGGACACGAGTTTTGCGGTTACGGCACCCTCGCTCGTCGACGTGTTTAATTCGATCATTTTGTACCAAAATAAATATTGATTGTATCTAAAGTGTGGTTTGAAAGGTGCGGTGGTGGTAACCTGAGAGTAAATACGCAGCTGTTAGTGGACACGCGGGTTTGAGGGCGGAAACAGGGTCCTGGCTTTGGCGTATTCGGTAAGGCGCTTGTCCGAGGGTCGGAGGTCCCGGGTTCAATGCCCGGGGCCGCCCAGCCCCCGGATGCCTCCCCGGCTACACCGCCAGAGGCAGGGTAGGCTCTGGTGATTGAAAAGACCCCAGTGAAGGAGGAGAGGACTGCTGGTGTTCGAGCCTGTGTAGCGTCACGCGGCGAATCGGACGAACGAACGAACTAATCGTGACCACTACAGGCGAACACTTAAATACACTTAGAACAAAAAATCGCACAGTTTCGAGACCAATAATGCGGTAACACGACACAAAACCGGGTAACCAGCCAACATAACTACATAATAAAACATTGTAAGCTCCATGGCCACTAGTCTTAGAACAATCTCAGCTAAGAAGGACGAAGCTTTACAGGCTCGCATATCTGCATGGTTCTCCAGATTTTGCGATGGATATGCTCGTAATGGCTTGAAGCTTGGACATTTAATTTACAATATGAGATGTTAACAAAACAGAGACGTTAGCAACGCATTAATATATTACAAAAACTGCACTTCTTTCGCTCGTAAAAGCCCAAAATACGATAAAATTGACAGTGTGAACCGCATTATCTTACAGTATGCTGTATGTACATTGAAAAATATACTCAGCAGTACCACTACGTCGCATCTATCCTCTTTTGAACACAGAATAGCAGTATGTTTCCAGTCCACGCCATATAGCCGTCCTATTTGCAGCACCAAACCGACCCCACAAAACAAGATATTACCATAGACAACCTCTCCAGAGCAGGATTAAGAGGACGGTCGTATGGCGCTGAGCAATCGCATCCACAGCAAGAGGACACGAACGATAAAAAACAAGAGCATAAACACAGCAGCCCACTTCACACACATCAGTCCCCACACAATACGGTACCGGGTCACCGTCCACCCCGTGCGGGGCCTACCCCTCCCTCAGTCGGACCCAGGCCCGTCCGACCCGCGCCGCTGCCCTCCCTGTAGTGACCGTCCGGTCAGCGGGCACTCACCCTCCCACTCTGACGGGCGCGGCGGCTGCTCAGCGCTCGCACCACTCCCCGCACAGCGCCTCCACCAGCTGCGTGGCGCTGCCGAAGTCGTTGACCAGCTGCCGCAGCTGGTGCAGCCGGCGCAGCTGCTGCCGGTGCCGCCGGGAGCCGGCGCCCTCGTAGGCGCAGCCGGCGCACAGTTTGTCGGCCAGGTAGTACAGCCACTGGATGTTGGTGACCGGGCAGTGCTGCCGCCACCGGTCGCTGCACGGGACACCAGATTGTCGGGTTGTTATCACGTGGAAGACGGACGGCAGCAGCCGTACAGAGGCGACAAGAGGGATTATCTACTGAATCGCATCGGGTCAGGTCATTCAGCAATAAAGTCGCAACTTGGTATCTTTACAATGTGATAATATAAAGAGTAAAGACACCATCAGACAGGAAACCTACTCATCGCAACTGAAACTTGTATTTCTGACTAGCTCAAACAAGAGTGAAATGCTATAATAGCATACAAAGATGGTTAACAAACGTTTTAAAACTCAATCCACCATGAATGACTAACGATTGCTTCGATATACAAAATCAGGTAGGATAAGGCGCGGCACAAGCCACATTCCTCCCAGCTACCTCCCGGCCTTCTCAGCGCTGTCATCCCCTCCCCCTTCTCTAGAACATCCCTAGATCCCCCAGCAGGTCACTCACTCAGTGGCTGTCCTCATCTGGCGGTAGACCTCGAACTGATGGTCCCCGTGCGCATTAAACAGCGTCGGGTCCTCTGCCAGGTTGTTGTAGACCACGGCGCCGTCGGCGCGCAGCCGCGACAGAGTAAAGTCGATGATAGTCGCTCGGAGTCCGGCCGTGGGCAGCCGGTACCGGCGGCCACCCAGCAGGCCCGGGAGGTGGTCCGTGTCCTCCTCTCGGAGCAGCACGTTACCCCAGTGGAGGTCACGGTGCTCGAACTCGAGCGCCGCCTCACCCACGGCCAGACTGAAGGCCACCTGAGCACAGAGTGGACGCGTGGTGAGCGGTCAGGGGCAACGCAGGTGGCGACGAGTGCTGTCACACAATCTGGTATGCGGATGGCTGTGTGTGCGTTGGAAGGGGCGACTCAACTCGGGAGGTTATATGGCGCCCATAACGACTGATTTACATCGCTGTTATTGAGGATATGCGGATGGCTGTGAAACTTGACGTGCTAGTACGATTACAGCGGGGTTTTATTACACAAAGTCTGTATAAAAAGTGGCAAGATGAGCTGAAGAGCATGACATGCACCCAAAACTTTGCTTACAAATTCAGCAAGCCCTGTCAACAATGCTTCATTGAAAAACCGACACAACTGTCTGACACGATACAAAATGAAATACTTACTGGTGCATCTGACCCAGCAAGAGCTCAAAACAGTCTGACATGCCCTTCGGGCGTCACCATGTAGCCATAACAGCCAGAGCCACTCTTGACAGGTCCTATCCACTCCCCGGACCACGAAATCAGTCAGGCCAGTCACAACTCCAGACACCAGTCACACACTCACAGCCATAGCCACACTCACAGTTACAGCACTGTGTCCGTACCTGATAGAAGGCGGCTATCGCCTGGTCCACGTCCCGGAACTGGAAGTTCTCCAGGTCCGTGCCCGCGTGTGAGTACTCGAGTACCAGGAACAGCTGGTCGCTGGGGAAGACCCGAGGGTGCTCGTTCTCCGATCCTGTCGACAAAGTGACGACAGAGGTCACCGGAGGTCATAGTCGGAAGGTTATGGCAAAACGGTGGTTAAAATCATGTCTTTATGCTTTGTTATAGCAGCCCGCACACGTCATATTGAAGTCATGCATGTTTTTTAGCACTTGGGAAAAGTCTTATTCGCATATGCATCGATCCCAAAAAAAAATACAGCCAGTAGTCACCCTTTATCAACATAAAAGCAATGAAAAGCGAGGTTTTCGCTCCTCGGATTGTGCAAACACGAATGAACATTCATACTGTCCAGTCTTCATACACATCAACCCCGGTCAATCAGTAGCGACAAATAGCGAGTAACCAGTAGCGAGCAGTCAGTCAGCGGGCCGATCGGTACACCTCTCTCCATCCTTACCCTTGTCTTGGTCAAACTTGTCCCAGAGTTTGTTCAGGGAGGCCGGGTACGCGCCGCGCACCACGTGACTCGAGAGCAGGCGGACGTAACCCTCTGCCGCGTGCTCCTTGCCCGCGTGCAGGTCACTCAGCGACCTGGGGCAGCGTAGTCAGGGATCAACAGCGGCCTGGCAGCGGTGCGGTGCGGTCAGGGTTAATGTCACTCGGCGCAATGTGATCAGTGAGATTAAAGTTTGACGAAGAACATTAACTTAAAAACTGGTCAGACAGATCAGTCAGATGAAAGCAGTAACTAAAAGCGCTGGCAACTTTCTGCAACCGTCAAGCAGTTAAAAAGTTGGAGCGCCTTGGCAAAGTTTATCACAACAAATTGCATAAGCTCCAATAGGGCTGCACAGTTCCGTAACTTAAATATAAGCAACCAAATGCTCTCAACCACCTGAAGACGGAGCCATATTCTGGCACTGACATCTGGCATCTGGCATGCTAAAACTGTTCGCGTTGACTCACTTCGAGATGAGAAGCTCTGACAACACCTCTCCGTAGCTCTTCTGGGCCGCGTCGTTGACCTCAAAGTCGCCCTCGATCGGCATGATTTTGATGACCGACCGGGACGTCTTGGTCTCGCAGAGGAACACCTCTCCGTACACACCCTCGCCAATCTTCTTGGTCACCTTGTGCCTGTGAACAGCGGATAGTGCGAGCTGTGGTTCGTAGTCTAGCGAGATGGTGTGGTCCCGATGACAGAGACATCATGTATGATAACAATGTGGTGATCTGAACACACAAATATTTTACAGCCCACTGAACTTAAAAAAAAAGGAATCTGACTAAACACCAAGCCCACGAGAAACAGTCTAGTACACAATCGGCATGGTATACATGAAGCAAATGCATGAAGCTATCAGTAGCTTGAAAGCGCAATCATAAAACGATAACGCTACATGCCTGTTCACCACTGAATGCAGCGCCTTTAGCTGCAGTATGTATTATTCATTGCACTCACCTGCGAGAGTACTGTAAGAAGCTAGCCGGTCGCTCCAGGCCACACAGCTCCAGAACCCTGGCAGCTGGGTCGTCGTAGTTGAGCGACACGTCCGGCCCGTTCTGCAGCGTGCTCTCCGCCTCGTCGGTCGACACGTAGACGGAGGAGCGCCGGTGTTTGGGCGCCGGGCTGAATCCGACGGGTAGCACGGAGCGCCGGCGCGGCGTGGGCACACACTCGGACAGCGGGGCCATCGAGACGCGCACCGAGCGCCGTTCGGCCGCGCCCGGCAGAACGGGAGAGGCAAACAGCGCGTCCCCGCCGCCGCCGGCCCGGTCTGCAGCGGCGCGCGGCGTGGCCAGCGCCGGCAGCGAATCGCGCAGCGCCTGGAACGCGGCCATCGCTCGCGAGTACTGCTCTTCGGAGAGCTCCCGGTGTGAGAGCTGCATCGAGCGCCGGCCTGCCTGGCGCGCCTGGGGCCCGGTGGTGCCCATCTCGGAGACCCGTCTGGACGGTAGCACCACGGACCGCCGGGCGTCCCGCGGCGTGCGCCACTCGACCTCTGCCGGTGGCGGCGGGGCGGGCAGCGCCATCGACACTCGGCGGCCGCTCCTCAGTGTGTGGGTCACAAACTCCTGCTGCTGGGGCTGCGGAGGCGGCGGCGGCGGAGGTGGCATCAGCGTCCGTACCCGGTCTCCCTCTTGGTCCTCCTCCTCTTCCTCCACGTACGTGGCCAGGGTGGTGCGGCGGCTGCGGAGCGGGCGCAGCCGTGACGTGTAACCAGTCGACTCCTCCTGTCCACCGCGGCCCGGCTGCAGCGACCGCCGACGGTCCGGCAGGTCAGAGGCGGGGCGGGGCGTCACTGTCCAGTCGCGCAGCCCGCCGTCCGCGGCCGCCGCGTCCACCTGACATAAGGAGCGGCGCCAGCCCTTGCCGGCTCGCAGCGCCAGCAGCACCGCGCCCAGAGACGGAGTGGCAGCGGCGGCGGCCGGCGGCCGGCTCTTCTCGTCTGCAGGCAGAGAGACAAACGCGGTTAGAGCCAGCTACTAACAGTGAGCCTGTGGTACTATGTGTTATTGTAAACAGGAAGACGCGTTTTAAACAAAAGCTTCGCGCACTGCAATTGATTTGATGAAAAATACTTCACAGCAAAGCTTCATATTGATTTAAAACACAAATAACGGAAGTAAAAACTTAAAATTAACGGACCACACGCAAAATATTGAAAAAAAACAGCAATTCAGCAAGGATGATCACTATAATAAAAGTTTGAGTTTAAGGAACGTGATCTCTTAACCACAGCCTCTTCTTACCTCGATCAGGTGACAGCAATGGCGGCAGGTGCAGCGGCGATACATCGGCCTCCGAAGGGCCGTGGTCCGTCTCCAGCGGGCCGTCATGGTCTGCCTCCAGTGGACCTTGGTCCGCCTCCAGTGGACCTTGGTCCGCCTCCAGTGGACCTTGGTCCACCTCCATCTGACCGTCATCCGCCGCCGACTCGACCTTTGTCGCGTCAGAAGCGTCTTCCTTCCACAGACCGCTATCCTCTCCTCCGCTGGTGTCTTCGGCCGCCGGCGATGGGTCTCGGGCCGCCCCCACTTCTTCCAACCGACACAGGCGCACAAAACACTCGGCCATCCTTCCCATGGAGCTCTGTGAGGAAGAGGGCGACATCATCGCGTCGCTCTCCGCGGGATCCTCGGAGACATCCGCAGCTCCAGAGTGGCCGCCCGCCCCCGTCAGCTCTCGGAGCTCATCGGAACTCAGTCTCTGGACACGGACGAAACAGTCGACTAGCGGCGACGCACCGTCCGGGTTCGTCTGGCGCGAACTGAGCGGATCGGTACCGGACCTGTCCGCAGAAAACCACAGTGACCCATCGGTGGCGTCCATGGGGGCAGCCGACACATCCTGTCCCAGTGCGGCGTCCACCTTCGAGTCGGCGAATCGAGACAGATCAGACCGCACCTCGTCGGACGAGAGGCGCGGCGCGCCATCGCCAGAAACGAGTCCCGACCGCGCCTCGACCGAACCTGTAGGCGCCTCAGCAGTCTCCTGCTCTTCGTCTTCTTCGTCCGATGAGAAGACAGCCGACCTGTAGCGCGGCAGCATGTCCACAGGACCATCGGCTATGGAGTCGTCGGCCCCTTCCACCGACAGCCTCGTCTCCTGGTGCGTCCGTGTTGCCAACACGCTTGTCTCCGGCATTGTCTGTCCCACCGCTGGGCTGCCCTCCTGGGGTGACTGTTCCACCGCTGGGCTGGCGTGGTGTGACTGTCCCACCGCTGGGCTGGCCTGGTATGACTGTCCGACCGCTGGGCTGTCCTGATGTGACTGTCCGACCGCTGGGCTGGCCTGGTGTGACTGTCCGACCGCTGGGCTGGCCTGGTGTGACTGTCCGACCGCTAGGCTGTCCTGATGTGACTGTCTCACAGCTGGGCTGGCCTCAGGCGACAGCCGGGGAGGTGACAGCGGCTGGGACGTAGAGGTGACAGCAGGAGGCAGAGAGAACAGGTCGGGGGAGGGAGGCGGACCAGGGACGACGACGCTGTCTCCGTGAGCGCTCCTGTCGGGCTGAGCTCGGCCGGCGACGACGACCAGCTCGGGACTGGCGCCGGGAGTGACGGTGCGCACACTATCCCCGGCCGGCAGGAACGGCGAGACCAGCGGCGAGGCCGACCACAGACGGCCCGCCACCGGAGTGCTGGCGCTAGGTCCGACGGTGGTGCCGCTCAACAGACGCCGGCTAGGCACTGCGGGGGTGACAGCCATTTTCGGCTCCCCAAACAGACCTGATGCCTCGCCGTCCCGCTGCTCCACTGACGCCAGTCCCGACTCATCGCGTTTTCTCTCCACGGAGCGCAGTCCTTCCGACACGTCTCGGCGCCTAGTCTGTGCCCCTGCCACGCTGTCACGGCCCTTGGAGGGACCGCTCCAGTCGGAGTCCGGTGCAGGGAAGATTACACTCGGACGAGCACGGGCGGGCACCGTGCTGGAGCGCTTCGAGGCACGGCCGTACGCCTTCGCCGGGCGGTTCTCCTTACCACGTCGTCCTGGGAGCGAGGCCTGCGTGAGATCGCATACGAGAAACACGAGCAGCGGAAACACACTGCAATATGAGATCGCATGCAGGAACTGATTGGTGGCAGGAATGGAATCGAAAGATATCAAACGAATTAAATGTATAAGGACCTTGGTCCTTGTGATAAGCATCGAATGCATGAATGAATGAATGAATGAATGAATGAATGAATGAATGAATGAATGAATGAACGAACGAACAAAGGAACGAACGAACGAACGAACAAGCAAAAGAATGAACGAACGAACGAAACCAACGAACGGAAGAACGAGCAAAGGAATAGATAAATGAATGAATGAAAGAAACAATGAATGGCGGATATGGAAGCAATGAATGAATGAAAGCGTAACGGAGAGAAAACGTGTCTCTAACTACACACTCGGCTCAGTGGAACTCGGTGGAACTCAGTGGAACTCGGTGGAGCTCGGTGGAACTCGTGGAACAAACCACAGCAGTAGGGGAACTTACTCTCGGTTTTACCGGGTGGCACCGGCGGCGGCGCCGACGGTGACTCGAACAGACGAATGCTCGGCGCCTGGTCAGCGCTGCTCGAGAACGAGCTTTCATTCAGTGGGTTATCTCGGATTTTCACCTTCTGAAAACTGAAACCGCAAAAAGAATTAAAGGTTCAATCGGGGCTTTATTTGCATCGAAATTACCTGTCTAATTTACATCAATGAAAGTAGTAACAATTGAACTGAAAATGCCTACATAAGGACAGGTGCATCGAAAAATAGACAACAGTGCTTTATTTATATTTATATTTATTTGTATCTATATGTGCTTTGCTTAAATTATGTAACAAGCTGTATCATATGCCAACAAATGTACTATTCAGGCAAAGCTACGGTAATGGAGTTTCGGTTCACCGATTATACATCACCCAACGCGACACGACGCGTCGAACTCACACTTGTCCGCGCAGCAGCCGGTCGAACGTGGTCTCGGCGTCGGACCAGCTGATGGAGGCGGCGGACGACTGGCCCGAGTAGCCCGCACCGGAGCTGGAGGCCAGCGGCGAGGACTCGGCTGAGTCGGGCTCCCGGTACTGGACGGCCGGAGGGTGGCGCACGCTGCGCCGGGTGGGCCGCATCTCGGCCACAGGGCGCAGCACAGGACCTGCAGGCAGTGGAGCGGCTGTGAGGCCGGCTGCGCTGTAAATGCTCCGCACTTGGATAATGGGATGAGAGGTCATGCCATCTGTCATGCTGCAGTCTGCACGCTTTGATTAGTGGATCCATCCATACTAGGGAGTGGTGTGAAACTAGAGCAATGGGGCTCAATAACTGATAACAGACATCAGATCATTACTGTATTTAGGATACCTACCCACCTAATATAAGAGTGCAGGACATAAAATAGAATAGCTGTTATTGGTCATTGGGAATGGGTCATGGGATGAGAGAAAATAATAGGTACAAGAATTCATAAATAAATATTCATTCACATATGTAGTAGAAAAATAAATTGCAGCACAAATCATGAAAATAAATTCAAAATATTCTGAGCAGTTAGCTTACAAACCTCACTCGTAATTTGTATCAAAATCCCTAGACTTCATTCATGGCAAGACCAGGCTCCTATATTGGTAGTTGAAATCACAGGAAGAGTTGCAACTTGCCAACTGTGAACTATGCTGGGTCACTTTGCCCTATACTGCCAGACAGTATGAGATTTAAACTACACTCTGCTCCTTGCAGAATGTCTTACTTCTTAGCCTGAAATATTTGATCAATTTATTATGATATTGCCTTATATCTTTCTGAAGTTTCCATTTATGGTAATGAACTAAGAAGAGCCCAAGTTCCTTTTACAATTTACATAGCTCTTTGCTTGTAAATCATTACACACACATCAAACAATATTCTTCTTTGAGGGAAGGCAAGACAAAATAAGCTACCTACAGCAGCCGGCTAGTACTCTTGCCGGCACTCACATACGTGTTGATTGCCCCGGCAACAGGCTACTGACCAATAAGAGGCGAGGAAAGTGCAACGTCACTGCAAATTTTCATATGTCCTGTGCCCCCCGGAGCCGAGTGTGCTTCTCATTGGTTAATAGCCTGTTGCCGGGGCAGCGAGCACATAAATGTGCGCCGGCAAGAGCACTAGCTGACCGCCGAACAGCGCTCAGAACTCTCACAATGTTCCAAGCGGCCAGGCAGTGGCAATGCCACACACATTGCCCAGGAAATGGACCCTGATGACTGAATCTATAGGCAATAAACTTATCCCCAAGGTATATTTACCCCTAGACAATGTTGCCCAGGCTTTATATTGCTTATAATGCTATAGCATATGGCTGTAGCCTTTGAATTCAGTAGAGATGCCATTTCTGGCGCAACAGCGGCAAGTGCTCAAGTAAAAGATAACCGTCACTCCGTGATCTTTCTTTTCATGGAGAGGTGAGTAAACTTAACATTAACAAATTACACTACTGGTGCCTTACCTAACACGCGGTAACCACTCTATATCTATTAATATCTATCCTGTACCTATCAACATCAATCTTACCAATTTCAAATCCTGTGCCAAAAATTAACCAAGGACATACTAATGACTAATTTTACGGAGTGAAATTCACTGCCATTTCTGTGATAAATGACGTCATGAAGAATACTAACATTCTATGTTATTATTGTTGTATGGAAAATTGGTAACAAGGAAAAATAAAAGATTGTTTTAAAACATCACAATAAGTAAAATATCTTCTTGGGAGGACTACTACGATTCCTTAGTAGGTAATCAGCTTCAGTATGGTTTCAGCTCGATGGCCTTGGTTTCAGCCTTCGATCAATTTTACTGAAACATTACTTTTTCTACTACACCACACTTTCCTTTTCGGCAGTTTTTCGACAGGAAATGCGTGTTTCGTAATTTGTTCTAGTCGGTCTATGTTGATTTATTTTGTTGACCCCGCCCGGCGCCCGCGCTCATTGATCGCCCTCCCTTCATTCCTTCCCTGAACACATTCCAATGATAATCCGCGTAATATGCACCGCCCGCACCGGGCACCGGCGCACGGAGTGACAGGCGATAGCCGACGGACGGTCGATACGATCGCCTTTTGTATCTGCCTGAACGCGCCTCTGCGCCCTAGAATGACGCCCAGAGGTCACACCGGGCGCGGCCAATAGGAACGGTTCCCTTAGTAGGGCGGCCGGTTCGGTGGAGTGAGGACTGAGGGGGCTCCGCAGCGCGTCCAACTCGTTGGACGTTGAGGCCTGCAAGGATTGACGACCCGTGAATACAGTCTTTCCGGTAGGATACAGCCAATGATACCTACAGCTAAGGATTCCGGTTAGGTATACCTACGGTGAGAAGGATTAATGAACTTACCTATAGAGCGATGCTGTGTAGTGTGTCCTCGTAAGTTGAAATGTTAAACGCGTCCAAATGTCTGTCAACAAGCCGTACCTATAACCTACTTGCCTGTTCGTATTTTAACGCGTTATGTACGCCGTCGGAATCAGTTATTAGGTAGGTATAGCCGTTATAGGTAGGTACCTATAGGTATAGGCCGATGGTGATTGGTGTGTTCCTGAAAACTATATTGCGAGTTGTGACCATAAGAGAAAAAGTCATGTTCGAACTTCAAAAGAGACTGGATATTTCAAATAGGCACCATGGTTGACGTTGAAACCATTTCTATCTTTTTCAGAATCCGCCTCAGTAAACCGAAGGAATTCTCGAAGACATGGAATTTGAACGTGAGTGTATGATTAGGTGTGAGAAAATCCATTGGGCGACGGGCGCCAAAATGTCCTGATTTCTCGCCCGTTTCATTCAAGCATACTTAATTATGTTGGAATACCTAAGCCGCCTTACATATATCTCCGTTACCAGTTACCACTGTTGCCCTATATAACCCGTGAAGTCAGCGCTGACCGTTCTGTGCTCCTGGCAGTGCCTCCGAGCGGGATGCCGGTCAGGTCGGACCCGCCCCCGGTCCCGCTGCGGTTCCATCGGGTGCACGGCGTCAACATACGGCTGTCCACGGACCGACGCTGCGCCAGCCGCGTGCCCGCCAACGCGTGCGCCGGGGGTCTGCTGTTCAGCAGCCGGCCACTGGCAGTCAAAGAACAGGTGCAGGACGGAGGGGGAGCTGCATGTAGGTATGGGTGGTGGATGTGTTCTGAGCAGGACTGACCGTATTGGCAGGCACGTGCTAATCCGTTTTTTGAAACGAAGTCCGTTTAAAAACGCATTATTAAACGTTTAGCGCAGTTAATTAGTTGATAATAGTAATATCATATATATCTGGTCACTGGTCAGGCCCGGTCGAGTTCTGACCTTTATCGAACTTAACGTCCCCTCCCCCTCCCCCCCGGTCGGCAGATTGTGTTTCGAATATCGATGATGGGTCCCATCACGAGCGTAGCGGGCGTCATTTGCGTGGGCTTTACCACGGTCGACCCGGCCAGCTTCGAACGATCACCCGTCAGTCGGCTCATCTCAGGTGAGAGTAACCGACTGCAGTATACATATACTCGAGGGGGCACAGACTGCAATATCCATTGCGACAGATAACTGCAGCAGCCACTACAGACATTAGGGGACACCGGACTGCAGTATCGGAGGAGGGGGGGGGGGGGGCGGCGGCAGCCAGCATGAGTGAGTGACGATCCGTCTAACTGCATTGCCTTTCATCTAGTAGGTACCTGGAACGACCCGGCTCACACATCTCGCATTCAGGCGTAGGCTATTTGATCACATTTGTCCACAAACGGTGATAAATTTCACAGACCTGGTTCTGACGCCCGGCTACTGGGGCACGGCGCTGGAGCCGTGTCTCCAAGAGGTGAACCGGCGGCTGGGCTTCTACGCCACCTCCCGAGGCTCCGCTCGGCTGGAGGTGGACGGCGTGTTCCATAACCTGATCTTCAGTGGTGTGGACACGTCTCGACCGTTCTGGGCCGTGATCGACATCATCGGCCCCGCCTTTGGCGTGCAGCTCATCCGTACGTACTTATTACCAAGCGAGTCGACCCTACCGGTGTGACTGATCGGGTTATGCTAGAGAGATCTGCAGAGCGTGAACGATTTTGCTATGCACCGGCTCTTGAAAACGTGTCTGTACTTCGTATTCGGATGGGTTATTTCACAAGAAGTTAGTGCCTCGCACATGTTGTTATTCTTTTGCACATCTTATCCAGGTTCACAAATAATCAAGGACTTACACGCGGTAGCCTGTCCCGTCCCGTAGCTCAGTTGGTAGAGCATCGGACTCCCGGTATAGGTAGTGAGAGCCCGGGTTCGAGACGCTCCGGCGCTCGATATTTGAGACTCCTGACGGGGATGGTCTGCGGTTGGTGGGAGCAGCCGCGGCCAGTTGAAGTCAGTTGAGTGGGACAGGCCGTGTCCGGCTTTGAAGGGCACGTTAAACTTTTGCACATAAATTCTCCCGTTACCCGGAATTGCGCGATCGGACGGTAGGGGTCGGGGTCTACGCAACAAGCTCTGCTTAGCGTGGGCTCCGGCTCTGTCAATCCGTCCATTCAAACATTCGAGCTAATTTTTTTTAACCGATACCGATACATGTCCACACGCCCTGGCCGTCATGTACCAAGCATGCACAGCGCTGTACTGTATACTAGGTCCACCGCTCTGTTATGACGTCACCCGTGCCCTGTTGTGACGTCACAGCTGACTGGGAGCCCACTCTGCCGGAGGACTCTCCCCCTGCTCGGCGTGTGTCGGTGCGCCGCGAACCGGCCGTCCACTGGACCGGCTCGGCGACTCCCGAGGATGTCCTGGACTCGTGGGTGCGTCAGGAGAGGACGAGGCTCCTCGAGGTGCGGCGCACGGACCAGGACGATGACGTCTACCTGGCGGAGGGTGTCCGTGATGGGGAGGACACAGTGGAAGTGGGAACGGATGCTGGAGAGGAGGCTGAAACGGATAGGGTCGAGATCGGAGAGGACGCTGTGAAAACGGTCGGACTCAAGCCGTGCCCGCTCAACAGGTGAGAATGATGTCCGTCGGGCGCGACAAAGGTTGCGAAATAAGTGAAACGTTACTAAACTCTATGTTATTCACATATGCGCATCGGATCCTGTCTAAGATGCAGTTTGTTTTCAGCACTGGTTCGCACAAGTTGTGCTATTTCATTGTCTGGACACATATCTCCCCATGCGTTAGCATTCTTCCCGGTGCGTCATGACATTGTGCTGAAACCCGCTGAGCCTCTTAGGCCACACTGACTGAGTTATTTCCTCCTCAGGGACGTGGTAGGCGGCCCAGTGAAGGTGCGGGCCCGCGGCACAGAGGCATGGCTCAAAGACGGCACGGCGGGGTACGCCTTCACCGCCTTTCCCCTTCTCCGTGGCACCTGGATCCGTCTCCGCATTCTGGAGACCGACCGTGCCGGACCCGGTGAATCGATCGCCGGCCTGAGTATCGGTCTGACGCTGACCGACCCCGACCACCGGATGGGTCTCCAGCTGCCGGCTGACCCACGGCAGTTCGGCGACGGTACGCAGCTGCTACCGATCGCCGACGACGTGCTGCGCCGACCCCGAGTCGGTGACCTGGTGGACATACTGCTGGCTGTGGACGGCGCCATGCTGGTCACCTCTCGCGGGGAGCCGTATGACACGGTGCTCGGCGCAGCCACTGCCCTGCCCGTGTGGCTGATGCTGGGGCTGACCGGTACAGTGCGGGCCGTCAGGATTCTCGGCACCACTCGTGTCGGCGAGTCCGAGTTTCCTGCCGAAGAGCACCCGGCGGACCAGCCGTGGTGGCCCGACCCGCGGCTGGTCAGCGGGGAGGACGCGCACGGCTCGGTGACCCCGCGGTGGGACGGCCGCAGCGTGTCACCCCAGTGCCGCCACGAGCCCGACGAGCCGGACCCGATTCCCCGGTGGGTGTGCTCCACAGAGGGCTGCCCGGGTCTGTTCCGTCCCCCTCCCGGCTCGGACGACGAGAGTACCATGTGTTTTCTGTGTCGCCGGGAGGCGCCGGCCGACGTGGGTCTGGTCTGCGGCCACGGTCATCTGTGCCGAGCCTGCGCTGCCCAGTGGCTGCTCGCCGGACGTCCTCGGGAGTGTCCCATCTGCGAGCACCACCGGAGGCGGTTCGATGAGCTAAACGCCCAGTAAGGGGCCGCGGCTGCCACACGAGGCTGTTCGCTTGTGGAGCCTCATGGTACAACGGACGCATCGCGGGAAGTCGGGTATATGTAACTGCATGCTCCGAAAGTGTAATTGTAATATCAGCAAAGGTGAACATTTTATCGCCCACGTATTCATTCATTGGCATCTAAGGCTGTGCAATTAGGGCTGTCGAGATAAAAAAGTTTCATTTTGTCGCCCATGAGTTCGTCATTTCTGGTAGCATTCTGGGTCGCCGTCGATTATTGATGTAGTGTAGCATGCAATATCGGTTCTCGTCACCTGGAAGCTGGGGCTGTGCCCACTGAAAGTGGCTAAGGCATTGTGGCTGTGGTATGCGTAGACTGTGGTGCACCGCCGCATGTGGATTTATCGGCGAATATCAGCACACAGGTAGCTGCTATAAGCAGTGGTGAATATCGCCCAAACTTGCAGCT